GGTTGTTTGGCATTTCCCCACCCCTTCCCAGGTCTGGTCCCAACCACACAACTTTCCAAGGCTCGGGGAGGACTCTGGGGTGGCATGCTGGCTCTGTGAGGAGCAATGTCATTTCTTCGTCACACAGCAGGCCAGACACGGGACCCGTTCGTTCTCCTTCCTCTTCGTCTCTCGCCGTCTTCTGTTCTTTTCTGGACGACTGTACTGTCTTATCCTGAATCTCTCCTCTGTTAAAGGACAGTGCGACTTTCAGAAAGTTAAGGCAAACCTGGCTGCCATACTGATGTAAAGTTAGCATGTGTAAAGATGTATTCAATTCACCAGTGAGGGAGCCAGCCAGATTGCAAAGCTGGTTTGGAGAGTATTCAAAGAGCTGAGAATTGATATATAACTGCTGCAGAGAGAATATTGGAATAAGATTTCTTGTTAGATACCAAACCAGCTCATGTGCTTCAGGACAACAACACCAGCAACGACAACAGAGGTGGAATTACTTTTTTTCCATCAGACAAAAATTACTTTATCTCCGGCAGACAAAAATCCACACATCGAAGTAGATTCTCAGAGGGCCTGAACTCTAATCAAGAATAAATAAAATAAATAAATGTTAAAAAAATAAAATAAAATAAAAAAAAGGGGGGCGCCCGGGTGGCTCGGTCGGTTAAGCGTCCGACTTCGGCTCAGGTCATGATCTCGCATGAGTTCGAGCCCCGCGTCGGGCTCTGTGCTGACTGCTCAGAGCCTGGAGCCTGTTTCCGATTCTGTGTCTCCCTCTCTCTCTGACCCTCCCCCGTTCATGCTCTGTCTCTCTCTGTCTCAAAAATAAATAAACGTTAAAAAAAAAAAAAAAAGAATAAAGAATGTGCCCGACAAGAGTACATTCCCACAGAGCAAGAATGGCAGCCACCTCTTGGTTTTTGTAAATAAAGTTTTATTGACACCGCTCGTGCTCATTCATTTACATATTTGCCTTTGGCTGCTTCCCTACTACAAAGGTATTGTTGAGTAACTGATGGGGAACTTACGGACCACAGCACTGAAATACTTACTGTCTAGCCCTTTACAGAAAGCGTTGTAAAGGACTGAATATCCCTGTTGGACACTGCTCTTCATCACAATGAGAAAGCACGGAGACCTCGCCTTATTTCCTTATTTCCACGTTGGGGATGATTTTTCTTACACCCCTTCCTTCCACTCTCACTTGCCCCCCCCCCCACCCCCGCCTTCTCCAGACGGGTATCAAAGGCCTTCCTCCAAAATCATGCACCTTGCATTGCGGATTCTCTGCCTAAAATCTTCCCAAGCCCCCAACCACTCCCCAGTTAAGTCGACCTTGTAGGAATCCCTGACCCTCTGGGCCCCCAGTCGCCTTCCCCTGTGAGGAGACCTTCCTCGGATGACTCCCACCAGAGCTCTGGGAGCACCTGTGAGGCAGTGCGTCTGAGAAGGGCAGGATTCGTTTTTTTCCTTTGTGTTGGGGCACCAGAGAAACTTGGGGCACTTCTGGTTCGAGGGAACCGGGGCTGAATAAGGATTAATAGCCACCACCCCTGACGCTTCTAGGGAGAATGAACGGGGGGAACTCGTTTATAGGGCTTGGCACCTGGTAAAGAGCTCAATAAATGTGAGTTTGTTCTTATGATCCACTTACCTCGTGCGAATCTGAAAGGAGGATTATGCGTCCGAGAGGAGAGAGAGAGGAGGAGGGTAGAGGCTGGAGTAGAAGGGGAAAATACCAGTGGGGACGACATCTGCTTTCTATTCCCCAGACGCGGGGGCCCAGGCCGCCTGCCTGGTGTAACGTTTCTCCGTTCCATATAAACAGAAAAGATGACTCTCGCAATCTCGGCCACAAAATACGCAGGCATAAAAAATGGGTCATATCTCTCCGGCACAACCTCTTTGTGTGGGCACACGGGACTCTTTCCTATTTGTCGTTTACACCTGACTCCTGCCTATTCCTGTGCTGGCGTCTCAAACCGCCCCACCCTCCCGTTCCTTCTTTGCTTTGCGGTCTTGTTCAGCTGCCAAAAGTCAACTCGAAATTGAACACGGCCTGGACTACTAGCACAGAGCATGCGTGTGGATGTTGGAATGACCCGGACGGTATTCAAATACCGATTCCCCCATCTAACCCACCTTTTTTCTCTGAGCCCCGGGCGCCCGTTTGTAAAATGAGGATAACGACACAGAGTTGTGGTGACGAGTGAATGAGCTGACATATATAACATGCCTCACACAAGGCTTGGCTCTCAGTACTTGCCTTTCATACTTCCTGGTTAGAAACACAACATTGCTAGCCACCCGGAACATAACATAAACAACAAAGGCATTTCAATGTTATCCCCTCATGATGAGACTATTACTATCAAAAATAACTATTAAATATCCCCACCCTGGGGCACCCGGGTGGCTCAAGCAGTTAAGCATACAACTCTTGGTTTCAGCTCAGGTCATGATCTCATGGTCTGTGAGTTTGATCCCTGCATCAGGCTCAGCACTAACAGTGTGGAGCCTGCTTGGGATTCTCTCTCTCTCTCTCTCTCTCTCTCTCTCTCTCTGCCTATCCCCTGCTTGTGCTCTCTCTCTCTCAAAATAAATATACTTTAAAAATGCCTCAGGGGTGCCTGGGTGGCTCAGTCAGTTAAGTGTCTGACTCTTGATTTCAGCTCAGGTCATCATCTCACGTTTCGTGAGTTCAAGCCCCACATCGGGCTCTGTGCTGGCAGTGCAGAGCCTGCTTGGGATTCCCTCTCTTTCTCTCTCTCTCTGCCCACCCCCCCCCCTCACGCTGTCTCTGTTTCTCTGAAAATAAATATAAAAAATTTTTTAAAAGAAAAATGTCCCAACCCCTCTCCCTGCCAGAGAAACGTTCTCCTCCTCTGTCTGTGCCCACCTGCCCATTTTTATTTTGGTGGCCACCCCAGTAAAAACCCATGGTGCTGATTCCAGGGGCTAGTCCCAGACTGCTGACCCTAGACTTATGACAGATGGTTGTCAACACCACATAGGGCATCTGCATCTGACCTGTAGGAAAGAAAAAGCCTGGTGCCCAGTGATGATGACAAATTCAGACTATTGTTCCTCCCTTTGTAAGACTTCTTTGGAGGGAAGAATGCCATGTGAATACAGTTGGCATGCCACTGTGAATAAAGAAGAGAATAAGGGGGTCTTTGGGAATTATCAAGTTCTGAGGGGAAATTTTTGCGGGATTCTGCATGATAATGACTTGAATAAGTGCTCAGGACCCTCTCTCTGTTCCAGCTCCCAGGGATGAATCAATCACCAGAATGAGGCTAGCTGATTGTAGTAGCTTAGTGAAGACAGATATGGCTGACACCTCAAATACTAGAAAAGAAGACACAGAATGAGGGGTTCATTTATTGCAATACCAAGGGAAAGGCCCAAAACTCCACTTGAAAAGAGGATTACTTCCCTGGAAGAATCAGTGGTGAAGACCTCAATTATGAGGTCACAAGAAGAAAGCCTGGTGAATCCCCTAGAATCAGGAAGGGGACCCTTCCCTCTAATGAGCTATGTGTAGCTCTAGGAGAGGTCAGCTATTCTATCCGGTGGCTGTGCCCGAAGGCATTGGCAATGTGGGGCTGGGGACACCTCATCTCCACGGGTATGCTAGAACAAAGAGGCCTCCCTCCTTCATCCCATCTAAACAAACCCATCATCAGTAACCTACTGGAGAAGAAACTCCTCCCTATCTTCTACTGCCTATCAGTCTCCCCTGGCCTGAAAGACCCCAAGACCTCGTGTGCATGTCCTCCAAAGCAAGCATTTACAGAGCAGATATTATCAAAGGCTCAGAGCCATTGAAGGAAGGAGATCAGTCCCAACAACTAGAACAGGTGGCTTTCAAGGAGGCAAGATGCAGTTAGAATTCTCAAGATGTTGTGAAAGCACATACAAAAAATAACTTTTGGTACTTACATATGCTTTCTGAATTTTAAAATTCAATAGAAGATTGTAAAACTAAGTGTTAATTTCCCCCAAAATGATTATAGCATTTTAGAAAATTAAATATAGGAAACAACCCACAATATAGAGCGACAAATACATGAAAATCATAAATGAAAAGGTGAGGGACATAAAAGACACATGCAGGACTTCTATTATGTAAGTGATAGAGTTCCAAAAGGGGGACAAGACACAGATGGAGAATTAATAATAGGGGACAGAGTTCAAGAAAAGTTCACCAAAGTGAGGAAAGATGAGAAAATTCATGTGGAAAGGATGCACTGTGGACAGGAGTAATGTTTAAGTGGCACACCCCTAGGGATAGCCTGGCAAAATTACCCAACTCCAAAAACAGAAGAAAGAAAAAATATTCGTAAGCTTCTTGTGGCTGCCATAACGTTGTATCTCTCAGATCTAAGTTTACCACCAAGGGCACGTAGAGGTCATGCTCCCTGCAGATTAATCATGCGAGGACACAAGGCAGGCCAGTTCCTGTGAGACACGGGTCTCCTTCAGGGACAACTTTAGCTCAAGGACTCCCCACAGGCCTGGCCAACCCATCTTGGAGCTATGCTGCAGTCAGAGACCATTCCTACCTCAAGGGCGCTTCCTTTCCAATCTCCTGTTACAGAATTCAGACCTCCATCAGGGGCTCAAGGTTCTGCTGGTCTTCTGTTGCCATCCCGCTAAATCTCTTACATAGTTAATGCTATCTGTGAGTCATCATGGCTGACCTCAACTAATACAGACATACAGATAGATGGGCAGGGAGAGGTACATAGACAGGCAAAACTAAAAAAAAAAAAAAAAATCTAACTTTCTGTGCAACACTGGTAAATAGAAGACAGTGAATCATAATTTCTAGATCACTGAGAGAAAAACATATAATGAAAGCAGCCCACATTTTACTATATTCTCAGTGAAAGCTGTTAGATACTAGTGGAACTCACAAATATTTCCAGCTCTCTGCCTTCGGGGCACACGGGGGCTTGGCATTACTCTGCCCCTTTGCAGTTTGTCATGGTCATAGGACATTCTTTGGGCAATGAAAACGTGTGTGTCACTTCTGGGCAGAGGCGTGTTAGGGTCGTGAGACTTCCCGGCACTTTCTCCCCTTGCTGCTCTGATCCGGGAAGCTTGCGTTGATACAGAAGTGAAATGTGGAGCTCTCATATGCAGGACAACCTTCCCGGTAAGTGTCCTGGACCCAGCCGCAAAGCAAAAGGGAGACTTTTCTTCTGTTAAGCCTTTGAGATTTGGAGAATATTGATTCCCGCAGCGTAAACTATTCGATTCCACTAATGCAGAGGCCAGAGAAAACGATGTAAGCTCCGTGAGGGCGCGGCCCTTCACTATCCCCTGTCATACCCACCTGCCCGAGAACATCATGAACTACCACCCTATATACTGGGGTGGTGGCGTTGGTGCTGGATCTTGACATTGAAAGAAATGTTCAGTTACTAAAGAATTAAAAGAGCATGTACCCATGCCCTTAGCTGAGGAAATCACTTGGGGAAGAATTCTGAACACATGAAAATTAAATTAAAACAAAAGTCTCCAGGTAGAAAAGATGACAAGCACAAGAGAGAGCGGTGGGCAGTAAATCTTGTGGTATTTTATGGTTAAATCTAAAAGGAAGATGAATGCTTAGCTGGGAATTGTAATACGAGTTAAGCGAGGATTATTGAAACCGAAGAGGCGTATTGTAAGAAAATATGGGATAATAGAACAAAAGTTCGGAATTTACTCAGCAAAACCCAGGAGGTAAGGGTATGAGGGGGGCCGGGGGCAGGTTCCACAAGGGAGTAGGAAGAAGATGAAGCTCCAACATTTAAGGGTTTCGTCACTGTGGTGAGCACGTGTCCAAGTAAAACATTGAGGCGGGAAAGAATTAGGAAGAGTTATTGGATTTTTATGTAGTGATAGAGAAGCATTTGGCTGGAAAGATGGTTAACCATTACTATATATGATTAAGAGGCCTATTGTTTGATCATTCAGTGGACCAATAGTTAGTGAGTACCTAGCATATGCTGAGTATTTTTATAGGTGTTAGGGCTGTATTGGTGAATACATCAGTAAATAAAACAGACAAGGTTCCTACTCTCACTCTCAAGAAGGAATGGACAGGTCATCGAACAAATAACAACATCATTTCCGATGGTCATGACCACCATTTCTTTTCCTCGACTGAAACCTGAGGAAAGAATAGAAATTATCTCTGGGAAGTTGAGGAGACCAGTTTTCTAGGCAGAAAACTTAAGGCAGTGATAAGTTTGGTATGTTCAAGTAGCAGAAGGAAGGTCATATCGACCGGAGCTTGTGTGTGTGTCCAGGGTGGGGGTGGGGGCATCACGATACCAGTTCACAAAAGTGACAGATCACAGAGAACTCCATGAGGCTGAGTAAGAATGCGGGATTGTTCCAAATGTATTGAAAAGCAATTGAGGGGGCGCCTGGGTGGCGCAGTCGGTTAAGCGTCCGACTTCAGCCAGGTCACGATCTCGCGGTCCGGGAGTTCGAGCCCTGCGTCGGGCTCTGGGCTGATGCCTCAGAGCCTGGAGCCTGTTTCCGATTCTGTGTCTCCCTCTCTCTCTGCCCCTCCCCCGTTCATGCTCTGTCTCTGTCCCAAATAAATAAATAAACGTTGAAAAAAAAATTAAAAAAATAAATAAATAAAAGCAATTGAGGAGTTTTAGGAAAGGGAGTGTCATGATGTGATTTAAGATCATGGGCTGATATGCACAGAAAGGGCCATAGAGGCCAGGGCAAGAGTGAAAGCAGGGACACCAACTAGGACACGATGGTAGCTTGGACCAGACAGTGGAATGGGCATGGAAAATAGCGGCCAGATTGGGATTCTTTTGAAGATACAGGTAATGGAACCTGGCAATGGATTAGCTGTCCTAAGTGAGGGGAAGGAAAGAATTGGAGTTAACTCAGTATTGTTGACTTGAGCACTTGAGTAGAAGACTCAGGGACAACCGATTGGGCGCTGGAGAGAGGGGAAGGTAAATCATAAACAAAGCTATGTTTAGGCAAATTCCATCTGAGATGCCTATCAGACACCCAGGGAAAGATGTATCCGAGCTCACATTTGGATACATGGGCTGAGTCAGAATCCAGGGGTGGGGGTGAACAGTCATCAGAGAGGAGGCATCCGAAACCAAAGGAAGACTCAGGCTACTGTATTTCCACAGCTATATATGTAAAGCACCTAGCCTGGGACTTAACACATGGTAGGGGCTCAATAAGTGATTCCTTCCCCCTTTCTCCTGGGGATGATTGAAGATGGTCTCCTAGAATGAATCCTGAGCTGAGCGTCAGGAGACTAGACCAGGGAAGAGTCCTGACATAGGCAGGACGTGTCAGCTTCTGGTCCTCAGTTCTCTCAGCAATTAGAAGAAAGTAATGGCCATCAGCAGTGCTGATCTGGGGACGGCACGGGATGGGAATGGAATACAGTGAAGCATGTGGAGATTTTAGGGGGTGATGGGTATGTTCTTTACATTGACTGTGCTGATGGTTTCACAGGTTTGTACATATCTCAGAACTCATCAAATTGGACACTTGATGAGTATGGATTCTTTTATGTCACTTATACCTTAATAAGGCTGCTAAAATAAAATTAAAGGGAACAGCTTCTGCTTTATTTATCTCCCTGGGTTGTTGGGTCTAGGATTAAATAATAGGATTAAATGATAACTATAGGGGCGCCTGGGTGGCTCAGTCGGTTGAGCGTCCGACCTCGGCTCAGGTCATGATCTCATGGTCCGTGAGTTCGAGCCCCGCATCCGGGCTCTGTGCTGATAGCTCAGAGCCTGGAGCCTGCTTCGGATTCTGTGTCTCCCTCTCTCTGACCCTCCCCTGTTCATGCTCTGTCTCTCTCTGTCTCAAAAATAAATAACCATTAAAAAAAATGTAAATGATAAGTATAGAAGCGCTTGAAATAATAAAAACTAAACAGAGGGAGCATATTCTATTGTTGCTGACTTTTTGCTCCCTGTAAATAGGCACCGACTTATTCAGGAGCAGAAAGTAAGAGCTACAGGGTACGTGGAGGAAAAATATGAAGATTTTCCTGAAAAAAAAAACGACAAACCAGACGGGAAAGGGACTGTATTAGTCAGGGTTCTCCAGAGAAACAGAACCAATGCAGGAGATGTGATTTATTACACAGAATTGGCTCGTGCAATTATGGAGGCTGGAAAGTCCTCAGATTTTCAGTCAGCAAACTGGAGACCCAGGAGAGCCAACGGTCTAGTTCTTTTTTTTAATTATTATTATTGTTTTTAATGTTTATTTATTTGGGAGACAGAGCACAAGCGGGGGCAGGGGCAGAGAGAGAGGGAGGGAGACACAGAATCCAAAGCAGGCTCCAGGCTCTGAGCTGTCAGCACAGAGCCCGACGTGGGGCTCGAACCCATGAACCGTGAGATTCCGACCCGAGCCGAAATCGGACACTTAACCGACTGAGCCACCCAGGCGCCCCTACCAATGCTCTAGTTCTAGTCTGAGTCCACAGGCCTAAGAACCAGGAGAGCTGGTGGTATAGATCCAGTTGGAACTTGGAGGTTCAAGCCCCAGGGTGAGTGGGTGTGTTAGGCCCAGCGTGAAGACAGGAAAAATCAAGGTCCCAGCCCACAAGCAGTCAGGCAGGAAGAACGCCCTCTTACTGTTTCTTTGCTCTATTCAGGCCTTCAACTGATTGGATGAGCCTCTCACTAGGGAGAGCAATATGCTTTACTAAATCTACAAATCCAAATGCCGATCTCATTCAAAACCCCCTCACAAGCACAGTAATGTTTGACTAAGCATCTAGGCATCCCGCAGCCCAATCAAGTTGACAGAAGAATTAGCCATCACGGGGACTATTACTTATTGAGCTACTACAGCAAACCTCTATTACACCCCTGTCACAGATAAAACCCAAAGGCACCAAGAGGTGACATCGCCTGCCCCAGAACACAGGGCTGCCCAAATGACAAAGCCGGCTTTAAACCTCATTTCATCTAAGTCCGCTGTACCAAACTCCGCTTCTTTGAATCCCAAAGCTCAGAGTTGAATGAGCCCTTAGGGATTAGCTAGTCCCTATCCTTGGTTTTGCAGAAATCCAGAGGCGAAGTGACAAGTTCAGGTGGCACGCAAACTATTGAGAGAGCCCGCAGCTCCTGCCCCGTCACACCATCACTGCCGGTGTTGGGGTTGGGTGGAATCAGACTCTGTCTTTGGCCACTTCCAAGTCCAGCCTGGGAGGGAGGAAAATCCTACTGTGGGATCATGTTCTGCCCTCATGGCCTCACCAGAGAATGTTCCAACGGCTGAGCCCCATCCTGCCCTCTCACCATTTCCAGCCCCTCTTTCCCAGACTGCCCTAGTCATTTTTTCTTGGAGGAAAAAATGACACGCAGACATCCAAAATTCAGGAGTGTGGGGCTGTCTACTGGGGTCATCTCCTTTCCTGCAGGCTAGTTGCTCTTGGGGGAAAAGTCATGTCCATAAGGTTATAAATGCCTGGATCCCAGGATCCTAGTGAGCTCCAGAGAAGAAATAAGGGGAAGAAAGCCTAGTGGGGAAGGGAAAGGTTGAAGGATTCTCTACCTGAAAGATACCATCCTGGGGAAAGTTTTTTCCATGCTAATACTAGCCGGCATTTATCGAGAACTTACTGCGCAGTCAGCCACAATTCTAGGGGACTTAGGTTGTCTCAGTTATCACAGCCACTCAACAAGGTATGTACTTTTATGACCCCATTTTTTACAGATAAGAAACTGAGGCACAAAGGTGTTAAGTAACTTTCCCAGGAGCACACAGTTGACGGCTGGTGGAGCTGATTTTCCACCTCTGGCGTTCGACTTCAGAACCTGCGCACTAATGCTTACACAACGGTTTCCGGTTTGCACAGCGCATTTCCACCAGTTATCTCATCCGATTTGCATACCACACCTGTGAGTCAAGTTTTGCTCTCTGCGTTGGTTTCCTTCTTTATAAAATGAAGTTCACAGAGTGAAGAGACTCGCCCAAGTCCATCCAACGAATCAATGGTTGGTACTCACTGATTCATTCAAAAAAATGTTTATCGGGGCGCCTGGGTGGCTCAGTCAGTTAAGCGGCCAACTTAGGCTCAGGTCATGATCTCGCGGTCCGTGAGTTCGAGCCCCGCGTCGGGCTCTATGCTGACGGCTCGGAGCCTGGAGCCTGTTTCAGGTTCTGTGTCTCCCTGTCTCTCTGCCCCTCCCCCGTTCATGCTCTGTCTCTTTCTGTCTCAAAAACAAATAAACGTTAAAAAAAAATATTTATCGAACACCCACTAAGGGGTAGGCACAGCCACCGCCTTCAGGAAACCATAGGCTGTCCAGGGAGCTAGGCAATTACAATACAGTCTGACTTTTTTTATTGTTTTAATTTTTATTTTATCATTTTTACTAAAGTGTAACAATGCAGTAAGGCATGCAAATCAAAGTATGCAGTTCAATGAATATTCAATATGAATACATATGCATATACACATGCCTGTGTGCCAACGTGCATAGGTATATATCTCTGAATCAAGGTATAGACTATTTCCAGTTCCACACAAGGCTCCTTGATACCAAGGTCACTGTTATTGTGGCCTGTTTTCACCATGAATCTGTCGCGCTGGTTTCCAACTTCACTGAAACGGACTCGGACAGTGCATACTCGTTCATACCTGGCTTTCCTTCCCCAACATTCACCCATGCTGCCGGTGTCATAGGTTTTTTTCCTTTGATCGCTGCACTGTTTGGTCCTGTTTGACCACACCCGCGCACGGCAGGCTTGCTCTCCGGGAAGCCAACTCGGAGGCAGATTCGTAGGCAGAATGGCTACTGAGAAGTGCCCTTGGGTTGACAGCTGCAGACAGGAGAGACAAGAAGCAGGACGGGGAGCGGGGAGAGATTCAGAGTTTGGTGTAGACCCAAGGACCACCCCAGCCAACCCCACGAGGAGCCTGGAAGCTAAAACAGCCTGCGTTAGCCGTGCTGTGCGGCTGTGGCAAAGCGGCCGTCTGCGGCCCAGGCAGATCTGGAAGGGCCAGAGAGCCTGAAGGTTGGCTGCTGGCAGCCGTCCCAACAGCTGGGGCAAGCCCCACCTTGAAGAGGGATCTGGGCAGCACCTGGCCGTGCCCACGCTTTGATATATTTCTCCATTCTCCGGTTGATGGACATTTGGGTGGGTTCCACTTTGCACTATTATGAATCATGCTGCTATGAACGTTCTTACAAATGTCTTTTGATGGACATAACCACTTGTTTCTGTTGGAGATATAACTAGGAACAGAATTGCTTGATCAGTCGTAGGGCATATATCAATTTATACTTTCACCAGCCATGTAAGAGAGTTTCCATTATTCCAACGCCTTAGGATTAAAGTCTCTATAATTGTAGCCATTTTTGTGGGTGGGTATTTAGTGGCATCTCCTTATGGTTTTGATTTGCATTTCCCTGACCGGCTTAACACAGAGCCATCAAGTATCTGCCTAAGCCACCGTGTCTGGTCAGCGTGCAGCCAAACTTGAACCCCAGGTAGTTGGTTCTAGAGACGCTATGTCTCTCCCCGTGCGTGTTTCCGCCGGGGAGTATCTATTTCTAAAGACTGAACTACTTCTGAAGCAATTGGTGACTCCCTCCCTGGGAGTCTGGTTTTGTGGTATGTATTCGTGTCCCCCTGGGCAGAGGCTGACAGCCAGTCCCCACTTCCTTCTTGCTTCATACCCTTTCTGATCAGGTGTCTGATGACTATGTGCTTAGGGGAAAAGACAGTGAAACACAGGAGACGCCACTCAGGCTGCTGAGACTCCTTTTCGGGGTCTTCAATAATGCCATGAAGCAATTGAACTTACCGACACCGGAACTCCCGTAATGCAAACATCCTAAAGTACACAATGACAAATTTTCTTAGTATTTAAGCCATTTGAGTTAGTCTTCTGTTACTTGTAGCCAAAAACATCCTAACTCCCTCTTTCCCCCACCTCAGCTCCAACAGATTGGTACTTTTCTTCCTGGGGCTTCTCCTTACAATGTGGTCTTCTGGAAAATGCAAGAATGAGTCATTCTTGCAACGTTTATAATAACATAGATCATTCCGGTTCTATGCAGAGCAACTCTAAACGGTAGGATTCGTGTCAGCTCCATTTCCTAGATGAGGAAACGACAGAAACAAATCTCAGCTTCCTGAGGACTTGAACATCTCAAAGGGTTCTTCCTGGCAATGACTTCATTTTTCAGAAACTACAGCCAAGAGCCAGAGAGAGGAAATATCTTGCTTATGGTCCCACAACTAGTGAGTAGAACACCTGAACTCGGTAGATCTTCAAAGCAAACAGTTCTTTCCTTCCAAGAAATTAACATCCAAACGTTCAACTGGGCACTCTGGGAAACCAGAACACCCAGCCACTCGACACTTTAATTGCTCTATCCACAGTCTTCTGCTTCCGAGGATGCCAGTCGGAACGTCTCCTGCGCATCTCACAGAGGACACATACTCTGACACCAAGGAGAAAAAATGAAAGCAACTCCCTGTCCAAGACTCATAAAGTCAGCGCCTCTGCATAAATACACAGGTTTCCCTGAAGCTGGAGACTCACTGAATGTCAGAGCTCTGGTGTACAGAGAACGGAGAGCTGAGCTGAGCTCAGGTGCCTTCCCGCCCCACCCCCGCGGCGGGGCGGGGCCCCCGCCTCTAGGAGAGGGCAGAGGAGACTGGCTCCTGGCTCAGGTTCCCCTAAGAGTGCTGCAGGCCTGGGTGGCTCAGTAGGTTCAGCATCCGACTCTGGACTTCTGCTCAGGTCGTGATCTCACGGTTCATGAGATCGAGCCCTGCGTCAGGTGCTGTGCTGACAGCATGAAGCCTGCTTGGGATTTTCTCTCTCTCTCTCTCTCTCTCTCTCAAGATAAACAAACAAACAAACAAAAAGGAAACAAAAAGAACTTCAGGTGTCTCTCGTGCTCTCAGAGCTCTGAAGCTCCTCAGATTCCATCCTCTTCCACCGGGACCCTGCTTCCCTCTCTTCTCTGGAGCCGCCAACATTCTCTCTTCCTTCTGGAGAGCTCAGTCACCCCATCCCCCCTGCTGGCTGTGAGGAAGTCACCATCTACCAGCTCCACAGACACACTCTTATTTGCTGCCCCTAAAATTAAGCCCTTGACCCTTCTGTTATGTGAGTCTTACTGGGCGATTTTAACACAAAGGCCATTTGGCTGAGAGGCTTTTGGCGTTACTGAGAGAAGAACGGACAGGGGGCCACTGCAGGGCCTACCTCACACAGCAGCTCCCAGGCCTTGTTAAGGACCTTGTACTTACCCAGAAGGCAAAGGGAAGCCACTGAGTCATTTTAAGCAGGAGTGCAGCAAGATCCCATCTGGGTTCTAGAAAAACCACTCTTGTGGCCAAGGGAAAGTCGGGAAGGACAAGGGACAAGACTAGAGACAAAGGGCAATCATTTGGGCTGCTTTGTCAGGTAAGGAGCTCCCTGTCACTGAAGCATGCAAACGAGATAGAGAAGCTATAAGGAAGATTCCTGCAAAGACACACGGTTGGACTAGCTCGTGCCTGAGGTCCCTTCCAGCTTGGAACCACCAAGAGAAAACCTCCCTGCCCCAACCCAAACTCCTCTCCTCTGAAGCTCACAAGCTGGGACTGCGGTGTCCCCGTCCATGCCTGAGTAGGTTTCTGTCTCCATGGCATATTTGAGGTGCTCAGCCAGTGCCCCCCATGGGGACAAGGGGCGGTCCCATTTTGTTGTGCAACAGCTCATAAATCCAGGAATTACAAACAAAGAGAATTCTGTTATAGGTATATGCCATTTGAAATACAATCTCTGTGAGGGCTTTATGTTTGTCATGAATTTTATAAATTGTTGCAGTAATTAACAGGGCATAAAACAGGCTTCCTACCCCATCCGGGAAGGCCTTCCTGAATGCTCCATTGTCAGATGTGCCTCTCAGGCCCTCAGAATGGCGGTGCCCTGGGTGATGCTGGGTGTGGGATTGAGGGTGGGGGCTGCAACCCTGGGAAAAACGCCTTCATTCACGGGCGGTAGTTTAATGGGCTCATTTTAGGTGGCTTAGAGAATGACATCAAGATTTATCTCCTGGGCCCTTCCCTCAATAAATTAGAATGGGGCCCGGGGCCCGGGAGACAATTAAGACCCTCTCCCACGTTTCAATCCAAAGCTGGGCAATGAGAAGTGTTTTCTTCGTTGCTCTGACTGCATATGCGTTTGGGGGGATTTTGCCACTTTTCTCCCCCTTGTTTTCTTTCTCTCTGGGAAAACCGTCAAGTGCTGTGTGGAAAATAAAGACCCCAATTCATGAGCACAGGTTTGATTTCCTTCTGGAAAATAGTACCTTCTCGAAGTCTGAAACGACCCAGAGAGTTATTCCTAGCCCTCCCTGGAGAATGCTATCTCTCTCCCCGTAGCTTTGCAGGATGTTGGGAGACCGTCAACAAGCTTAGTGTCCTTGGGACTCCCTCCTCCTGGCTTTTTCATTAAGGAATATTTCAGACAGACAAAAAATATTTCAGGCATATAATTGGTATGAATAGTATTTATGAACCCACGATCTGGCTGAAAATAGAAAACATTGCAGGTCACAATGAAGCCCCCTGGCCCCTCTCCCATTTTCCAATAATGTGTCCTGTGGGATTTTAGCAGGGAAGGGACATGGTCAGATGAGATCGGGTTGCCCACTGTGACCAATCCACAGAGTGGGTCCATAGAGGAACCAAGGCTGGTTGTGAGACACCAGGCCGAACACCGGAAGGGTGTTCGATGGTCAGACCAAAGACCATAGCACTCCAGGCCCCACCCTGCACCCCTTAATGCTGAGCATGGAAAATCAACAGGTAAATGAAATCTGTGAGCGACAATGGCGATTGATCCCGGTATCTCACCTTTAATCGACCCGGTAGTTTTCAAGCTCACTAAATCACCAAATCCTCCCCGTAACTCTTTATTTCGTTCCAATTTGACATATAGGGAAAGGGATACTCAAGAGAATTAAATAATTTTCCCAAGACCGTGCTGTTGGTTTGGGGTCCTGGCTAATGCCCCTTATAGCTCTTTCCTTGACCTTGAGTCACCCCATAACACCTAGGACAGACCCTGGCACGTACAGGTTGTGCTCTCTCAGCACTTTCTGTACAAATGCATCGTTCCTTCTACACATCCATCCTCTCTATTCTTTGGAGATGCAGTCATACATAGCCTGTGTCATTTTTCTGACGCTTTTGTACATAAAATCACTCACGATATGTTTTCTAACTTGGAAGTAAGCTCCTTGAAGGGGGGAGAGATCATGTTTCTTATCTCCTGGCACAAAATAAGAAATCATAATTATAATTAGATAACAGGCATAGGCTTCTACAACCAGAAGAGATATTTTTTGAGGACATCTGGTTAAATACCTTCCTTTTACAAATGAGGAAACTGCGATTTGGAGAGGAAAAAACAAACAAACAAAAAATGCCTGGCCACGGTCCCTAGGGTGTGTGAGGAGGACTGTGTACATGTGTCCTGTGGCCACTTTCTCCCAGATTCTTTAGCCAGACCATATTAGAAACCTCCGGATGTGCCAGGCTCCAGGACGGGCACTGGGATACCACAGGCAACAAGATTCACACTGTAGCCCAGGGGTCACAGCGGCTTCGGGGACAGCCCCACTGGAAGAAGCCACACCACAGAAGAAAGTCGGGAGAGGCAGAGCCTGTGGGGAAGGGAAGAGCTGGTACCCAAAGTAAAGACTTTCAGCTTCTAATTTTACACTCTGGGGCAACCGAACACATTTCCCCTTTCTTGACCTCAAGCACTCCCAAAATCAGAGGAAGGGAACCAGAATCTCTTGGAACCTCTGACTTATAATGGAGAAGTCCTGGCTTCGAGAAGCCTGGAAGCCGGCCGTCTCTTCTCCCAGTGAGTGCAGAAATCCCAGCCACAGGTCCTACCGAGCACTCCTAGGGTGGGACCCTCACTGTTGTTGGGCAAAGGTTTAGAGCAAACAGCCTTGGGGGAGAGAGATAGCATCTCTCCAAGAGTAGGGGCAAGTTGGTTTGTTGGCCCGTCTAATACAGACAACACCTCCCCCAGGGCAAGGGTCAGGCAGGTTTGCAAGCAGCCAGCCTATTATCAAAGATTTCTTTCCCTAAACCCAAGCCTCCTCTGCTGTGAAGCACACCTCTTAGAAGTATAGCACCTATCCGGGCCACTTTGCATCAGCGCCAGGGGGCCTGAGGCGCAAGAGGAAATTGACCTGCAGGCGAGGCTTATGCTGCCTTTGTCTCTAACCCAGGAGTTACCCGTCCCCTCCCAGCATCCGTGAAATAGTGGAGGCTAACTCTGTAGGATAAAGTCTCAGACTCCTCTCCCCACTGTTTTCTAAGCCAGCCCCTCCGGTGTTTGTGTTATTCCTAGACAGTCAAGTCCCTTCTTTTCAGTTTTGTTGTTTTGGTTGTTGTTAGAGCAGATTTAAGCTGGAGTAGCTTTAAGCTTTGTTAGAGTAGAGTTAAGCCTTTAGGGGCTGGCTGCAACCGTGCGGTGACCACCTGACCTGGTTTGTCCCACGTTGTCATTCCATTTATTCCTGCGGTCCTGGCATACCTATCAATAACACTCCTTTTCATTCCCAAAAGTGTCCTAGTTTGGATGGCACGTTATATGGACACCCTAATTAAAGGGAGCTTGAATGACCAATCTAGCCACCAGCCCCAGGGCGACAGTCCCCATATCCCTGTAGGATCTTCCTGCCAAAATGATAATGTACAAGGTGAGGCTTCATGCTCCAGTATAAAAACGTCATGGCTTTGGCAAGCTGTTTAACCTCTTTGTGCCTTGATTTCTTTACCTGTAAAATGAGTATAATAATAGTGATGAGCTTTGGGAGTGAAGGTGGGGGGGGGTGGGTGGGTCTGGAGCCGACAACCAAGAAAGAATTCTTGAAGACGTCTTTGGTGCAAAAAGGTGATTTTATTAAAGCACAGGGACAGCACCCTTGGGCAGGAAGAGCTGAATAGGTGGTTTTATCCTATGGAGCTGGGGAGGTAAAGTCAAAAGGGAGGCCTCCAGAGGGACTCTGACACTCTGAAGAGGACCTGAGCCCTTGCTGTTGTCAAGCTAAGGTTCTCTTCCCTCTAGTAAGGCGTTAACATTAGGACAGTAGGGGGTTCCTGGAGAAACGCTATACTCTGTATTTGCCTCAAGTGTGTATCAATGGGCTGCAGGTTGTGAAAAATGTAACTCTACCTGCCATTTCCTTCTTGCCTTTGTTCCCCGGATCACTATGGAGGGGTGATGTTGGGGCTCCAGGAAACTGAGTCCATAGGTTTCTGAAGATGAGGCTATTGATAAGATTGCCTTTTTCTTGTACTTTAGCAAGACATCTGTAAACTGATGGAGACTCGTGTCCTGCGCGACTGTGATCTCTATCCGTTAGCTATTTGTTCTCTTTCCTCTCCTTTGTCCCTGGGTAGCCAGGAGTGCCGGAGGAATGTCACACACACATCCCACCTGGCTGGTGGGGGGGGGGGGGGGGGGGGAGGCACTAGCTTACATTCTGTCCTCAGCCCACCCCAAGCTCCCTCATCAACAGGATCTACCTCATAAGGTTATGTTCAGATTAAGTCAGTGAATATATGCAAATGCAAAAGACGCAGGGCAATGCCTCACACCTGGTAAATATCATGTGTTATTACCATTTGTGCTCTCATTACCTTTAGCACCGGCATCTTCATTTAACTAC